GAGAGAGAGAGAGAGAGAGAGAGAGAGAGAGAGAGAGAGAGAGAGAGAGGAGGGAGGGAGATATTTCATATTTTCTGACTCATCCCATGTCTTTTTTGGCTGTGGGGGACGGACTCTACCTTTCTCCCCTCATCAATATGCACATCTTAATCTGAATCAGGGAACTGATACCCAGACCCCCAAATCAGAAATCAACAGTTCGCCGACACGATGCTTACTGGCAAATGGCAACAATATGTCTCAGAACCAAAGAGTTCTGACCTCAAAAAACACAAACGTGTGTCCTATGCACTCAAGGAAACATTTCCAAATCCAAACTAAAGCCGTACGTACATTCCTTATTACTGAAGTGATCGGAGTCTTTCCACATTAATGGTATTCGAATATCTATAAAGAAGGCAAAAAGAAAAATGAAGCAATTATTTTGATCATTTTGATTTCACTCACGATGTGAACCTCTGAGCTCCATGACAGATCGGGCCAAAAAGAAATACACACAGCAATTTTCTAATTATTGTTTATAGATGATTTTCAAAAAAAATATTTTTTTTTTTCACGGAGATGGGTGTTTCGCCTGCATGTAAGTCTCTGCACCACTTGCGGGACTGATGCCCATGAAGGCCAGGAGAGGGCGCTGTATCCAATGGCTCTGAGGTACAGGTGGTTGTGAGCCATACTGCTAGGAATCCCACTCAGGTCCTTTGCAAGTCGGTGCATACTCTCTGCCACTGAGCCATCTCCCTAGCTCTATAGGCGGTATTTCTTAGAAGTTATTAAGAATATGTGAAATTTGAGAGTATCTGAAGTGAAAATACATTCTTCTAAATATTATTTCAGCTTTACATCTATGCCTCCCTCACCCCCCATGCCCGCTTTATGCTCACTCTGAGCCCATCCACGCTTGTACGTGGACCAAACACTTGGAACTGAATCAGTTGTCACCGTACGCCTTCCAACGCCAACTGTGCTAGGGTCATTGTCTTTTGGAGGCAACTGTCACTGGTTCTTTATAAGAATTTTTTCAATTTTGGTCAAAATTCCCTCTCAAATGTTTTAATATCCAAAATAACTTAGGAATGTATAATATTCTCTCTCTCTCTGTCTCTCTCTCTCTCTCTCTCTCTGTGTGTGTGTGTGTGTGTGTGTGTGTGTGTGTACTTGTGGAAGTTGTGGATCCCAGGAGAACTGAGGCCATCAGAGTTGGCAGCAAGCACCTTTATCTGTTGAGTGCCCTCACTGGCCCAGGGAACTAATAACTTTTACTATTTTATCTTCATATAATATGTCTTCTCTTAACATTTGCTCTAACCTTGGCTTTCTGTTTGTTAGAGGGGTAGAGATCAAGCTCAGGGACTGGGAAGAACCTCCCATGGAGCCTTGCCCCCAGCTCCTTCCCTTGCATTTTAATTAAGGTTATTTCTAATATATTTAATGCTTGGGGGGGGGGGTGTGCTGTTGCTTTTTTGTAAGTTACATTTTTTCCATTGTAGTCTCTAGCAAGTTATTGCTGGTTTTAAAAAAAAAAAACTACCGCTTTTTTATTTATTTATCCTAAATCCAGTCACATTTTATCGAATGCTTTAATTCAAGTGTCTCAGTCGCTTCCCCGAGGTCATATTCATCTGCCATTCATTAGCTGCAAAAGTACCCAATCTGCCTGTTCGTTTGTTTCCAATAGCTTTGTTTTTCAGCCATTATGTTAGCAACAATTCCAAACCAGTGCTAATTTATGCGGACACAACAAGACACTGATATTTTGCCCTTGATTTTACTATGGATGTCTTCATTGTTTTAGAATTATTACCCAGTTGATGGCCTGTCCAAACTCACTTCTTGCTTGACCACCGTGGCTGCCTCCTGCCTCCTTTTAGTCCACACTAGCCAATGGCTCTCACTCGCAGCTGTCCTGGCTGGGGTGGCAAAGCTTCAACTGTTTACAATCTCATGGGAGGACACTGATCCAGGCGTCCTTAGCTGCTTCCCTACAGCTTGGGTTCGATCCTGCTCTTCCCTACGCCTCAGCCCTTCCATGTAAGCAAACGGAATATTTCTCATCCGTGTCCCCGTTGGCTGTGTATTCCTCAGACAGCAAAGGGTCCAGCTTCGAATGACAGAAACACCTTCTAGATTCTGGCAAATGGTCAGCCCGAGTTTCAGCTTACAGTGGTCCACCTTTGTTTTTGTTTTTATTTTATGTCTCCGCTGACATTTTGTGGCAAACCTAAGACAGCCTCAACAACATTGTAGCTGACCCCAATATGTCAGGTCCCGGGCTATCATTTTGGAAAGAGAAAAACTAGGGACTGGGTCGATGGCTCTTGCTGCACAACCACAGTTTGGAGCGCAGAACTCACATACCTGTCGGGTGGCTGTGGCTGACACCTGTTAATTCCAGCCTCAGGAGGGTCCCCAAAGAAAGTTGGCTCTAGAGACTTAGGCATCACCAGGGACCTGTGGGTTTGATGGACAGGCCCCGCCTCAAAATGAGTAACATGGATATAAGGACTGAGGATGCCACAACCTCGGGACCCCAGCACATGCACATGCACTTACACATGTCTACTCACGTGCAAACATGCATGCACACATATGAAAAGAAAGAAAGGGAAAAAAACTCCACAAAAACCGAAACTGCTGAGGTTTGTGGGTAACCGATTTGGCCTAGTCATTGGACTGGGAAGTGAAAACACATACCAGCCACCCCGCATCACCTGGTGCAGGAGGAATGGGGGTGAACCAGTTATTTGTATGGATAGCAAGTTCCGGTCAGTGGAAACCTCAAAATCCAGGGCTGTCCTGTTTACAGTGCAATCTTAGAAACATGCTGAAACTGGGCTGCAAAAATGCCCAGTCAGCAGAAAGCATGCTAACAACAAGGACGTCCCATCTCCTGGGGTTCTTCCTTAATTTTGCTTTAAAATGTCTTGGGGAAAAAAAGAGCTGACGTCGGTTTCTGTACAAAGGTATCTGAGATCATGAAACACTGCCCTTTAAGTATTTTTGTTTTAGACCCTCCTCTAAATAAATGCGGTTACAGTAAACAAGCACCCTCAAAGGGACAACAGACGAAATTAGTCACAGAGCTCACTGAACAGGTCACCCACCTCATTGGCCTACTGAGTGGTCACCTTATTAGAAGCAAGGGAAGAGGGCAATATTTAAGTGGTGGTGGGAAACCTCTGAAGTTCTACAATATTGAATCCACGCATGTTAGAATGTATTTAGACACAGTAGAGAGGGTTCTCCAAATGTCTTCGGTTCTGCAGCAAAAGGACCCAGGCAAAAGCAGTGGACCTCAAGTCAGCCACAGTCATAAGACCAAGATCAGGCCATAGGCCACGCAGAGGGCACAAGCAGAAGACAGGCAGTGAATGCAAATGATCACAAAACAGGCAAAAGGTTTTTTATGCAGTTCACTTAATTTTCTGAAGCGCCCCCCCCCCACCAAAGGGCAATTTCTCCATTTTTTCCAGTGAGGTCAAATAAAACGCAGTGCCATCGCTGTGAGGGATGTACAGAGAGAACAATCCCTTGATGGGCAGTCCAGGTGACACATGACCAGCAGGCCAGGTGACACAATAGCAAGCGCTCTACCTCACTCAGACCAATGGGTTACAGCAGCTATTACTAGAGGTCCACGCAGGCCATAGGCTGTTTCCAGGGTATGGCGAAGAGATATCTACAAGCCAGCCACGCTAATCGTGTGGCATCTCCACGCCACCTCTTGCGGGGGTGTGGGGGTGCGGGGGTGCGGGGTGCGTGGAATGCTGCGGTTTTGGAGAAACCGAGATTGACAGCCTAAGCGCCATCTAGTGGCGAGGTGCCGCCTCGTTCTGCTGACAGCAAACGCCGTTCCAACCGCAGCAATGATGGAAGGGAATGAAAGGAAATGAAACCATTTCACAATCCAATTAGGTGTCTCAATCAAGGCCTCTGTTGACAAGGGAAGGGGAAAAAAAAATCTGCCTAAACCACGTGGCTTGTGTAATGGAAGATAGAGCCAGGGAAAGAACTGGGCAGAATGGAAACTTGGCGGGGCTGGGGCAGTTTGCTTTTTACCAGCTCAAAGTGGTCAATCATCTACCCACTATTCACCGAGCAACCACCAGGAGCCAAGCCCAGTGACGGTGGCTTTGGTATAATGTGATAAACAGAGCAAACATGGGCCAAACCCTCACGGAACGTGCAGCCCGGACAATCTTTAACAAACAGAAACGGCGGGGAGAGAAAAGCTTGTGGGTTTACGGCCTAGCTCGGGCACTCAACAGCAAGCAGGTGACTCGAACACACCTTCCACACACCCCAGAGCCTGAACAGAAGACAAACCTGCACAATGTTATGACGAAGTTTCCCCAATCCACGAAGTTCCATGTAATTGAAAAACATAATGATTAAATAGAATAAACAATCGGATGCTGGAAATACAGAATATGCAAGGCCAGCAATAATAATCCATAAACATATTCAGGGATCCATGGTGACACACCGCAGCATACCTGACAGGGCGATCTTTCCTCTGCAGGGTTCTCGTTCTTTACTTTCAAAACTCGCATCCCTGTCGAGAGAAAAATACATCAAGTCTTTCGAAAACAGCCGAACTTTAAAATAAACAGGCAGCTATGAATACTAACAACCAATGTGAAGTATTTGTCTCAAAGGATGTTCAGTCAAAAGCCAGCTAGCTTTCAGGGAGAGATAGAGACACCCTCTTTTGAGTGTACAAAAACTATTATACTTCCTAATAAAGGGTACTGGTTATACTATGATGCCCAACTTATCACAGAACTTGTACATCGAGTTCATCAGCTATGCTGGCCTGAAAGAGTCAGGTGTTGCCCAGCCAATCTGTGGGCTGCTACTCCTACGGCTGAAAGATACTCACCCCCCAAATCACCTTATGCTTTATTTCTGTGTGTACTTGGCATGACATCTCATTCTTGTAAGCTCCAAAGAGCGAGAATACACAATACTTTAAGAAGAGAGAATAGAATTTGTGGAGGGAAACGAAAAACCATTTCTAAGGAAATTCTAAGATGGAAGCCAACACCAGCCCCAAAACTGGGATTTCATACCATACAAAACAAACTGAGACACCATTTAAGCCAGAAGATCACACAGTCAAGGCTAGCCCATGTTACCTAGGGAGACTCTGTTTCGCAAACCACGGCAGGGAAGGTGAGATGGGTCAGTGGATAAAAGTACTTGCAGTCTAACCTGGGGATCTGAGTTTGATCTCTAGGGCCCACATAATGCAAAGAAAGAACAGTTTCCTGCACTGTTATTCCATAAAAATATACTCAAACTATAATCAAAAGCTAATTGATCATAAAACTGTGAAGAACTAAGTCTGGTTTTTTTTTTTTTTTTAATGAGAAAAAAACCCTTCAAATTTCTGGAACTTTGGTTATTTTCAATTCCAATACTTTCAAAAATGTTATTTCGAGTAAAAAAAAATGGGATGTTTTTCCAATTGATTCAAATTAACAATAAAACTGCTGAATACGGTCATTTTACTAAGTTAAATATATACTTGCTAGAAAACCTGCAACCAGAGGACAGAGCAAAGTTATGAAACAGTGTATCTTATCCAAACAAACCCAGTTCACATTCTTGTGTAAGACCTGTAAGGGCTAGATTTTTTGTTTTTTTGAGCTGAAGACCGAATCCAGAGCCTGTTAGTCTACCACTGAGTAAATTCTCTAACCCCTAAAGGACAAACACAACAAAATTAAGGACAGAAATTAAATTAGGTACAGAAAATGACCAATAGAGGGCGCCAGCTTGCCACTCTCTTACTCCCAAGATCTGTATGAAAATGTTCTGAGTAAACACAGATTGGCCTGTTTTATATTGTTCCATATGGGGATTTTTAAACAGCCATTTCTGTGCCAAAATTAGTGCACTGTAACAATAAATAGCATAATGGCAACGATATTTTACTTTTTTCTTAATGAACTAGTCGGAGGATTCTGAATGGTATTCTCTAATTTGAAAGCAGATTATAAAACCCTCCACCTTTTACGGAAAGAAGTCAAAACTAAATCTCAAAAACTCATAGTGTAGAATTTAAAACCACCCTGGAACTATGATAGTAATAGCTTCGTGATATCCTAGATTACCTCCCACGTGTGATACAGACAGCCCCCCTCCACAGACACCAAACCATCTACAATTTAGGAAATAAATTCAGCAACGTCCTTAAATACACGTTTCATTATAGAACTACTTCAAGTATAGAATTTTTACTTCCCTGCTAGTCTCTTTCTTATTTTAACTTACAGTCCGTAAGCGATAAAGTGTGTGGATGGGTAGTCATATCCGCCTTGCAATGTTATCTCGGCACTATTAAAAACTTGCACAATTATGTTGAATGACACATATAATTAAATCCTATAAATGACTGTAATTAGCATTATTACTTTTTTTTTTTTTTTAACAAAGCCAAATAAAACATTTCGGATTTAAGAGTGGAGAAGAGAGAGACCGGCTGGGGTGGGGGAGGAGGCTGACGGAGGACAATGCTGATATGCCAGCTCCTGCGTTGTGGAGAACGATGCTGTGCACTGAGCGAGCGCCCCACCCAGTACCGCGCCTCAGTGGCCACGGGGCTTCTGGGACTGCGGCTGAGTGGGCAGGAAGCACGCATGCTTGGAATGGTGGTACATACAGCAGACTAGCCTCAAGCTTTGGGCTTCACCCATCAATTACAACTTCCCTTAGTGAGTTGCTGTACACCTGATGGCATCCACGGTCCGAGAAGGGACATATCTAGTCAGTTCACACAGCTGCAGAGTAACGTGCCAATTCTAAAGCGCCTGTGGAATTCTGGAAGATGCCCCACAAACGCGGGCACTGTGTTGTGACCATTGATGTTTTCGCTCCAGGGATGAGCCTAGGTTTAGGGAGAAGACACACTTGCTAATGTGATCAGGGTCTAACTCCCGGTTCCTGTGACATATTATCTAAGACTCTTTTCTACACAGGCCTTCATTCATATCAAGAAAAAAAGCAAGGTCTCCTGTAGCCTTCTCCAGCAACCCAACCAGAAAACAGAGAGAGGCTGCCAAAAATGCCACTAATCTTTGGAAGACACGGAAGCCAGCTCCTGGAGACCTCATCCCACAGAGTTCCACAGGCGACAGTTTGCTAATGTTATGCTAGCCTGGGAGAGAAGATAGTGCACATAAAGTTTAGGAAAGGCCACAGCACTAGGTCCTGGAGGGTTGAAAAATACTTAGGTTCAATAATTGTTAATGCCATGGAGGAGAAAGGCACTTAGTGGAGAAGTTTCACGTGAAAATAAAAAGAAGGCAATTAAACTTAAGAACCCCAAGAAATAACGTCATATCCAAGAACCAGAAAATCAACAAACTAATGTCTCCAAAAAGCATCATTATTAAAGGTACGGTCCATTCCTCTAAACACAAAAACACTATTGCATAAAAAACCAAGGACACCCTTCCAGCAACGGTCCACTTACACCATCACGTCTTGGTCCAGGAAAATGTCACTAAACCATTATGAACAATAATAAGTTCCAAAAGGAGACCCTCATATCCATACAAAGCCATTCTGGGATAGAGAATCAGCTGATAAAAATATTCTGGCAGGCAAGCCTCCACAAATGAGAAAATAACAAGACTCGAAAGCAATACGCCAGCATGAAGCGTGTGCCATTAAACAGGTCCTTGCACATGAGACCAGGGATGTGGACGTGTCTGCACGCATCTAACACACAAACCTTCAGATGGCAGGAGGAACCACACGCAGATACCCAGTGAGAAGAAAGAAGGAGGAACGGAGCTAGGAAGAGTAACTCGGTTCTGACAGCAACACTAAAAGCCAAACTGGGGATGCAGCTGGTGAGAAGAAAAAGAATCAAACAAATGTGACAGACAGACGTCCAAGAGATCATATGGGACAGTCACAGAAGGCCGGACAGGGGTCAACATCTGTGTACGGGGCAAGAATTCTTAGAGAAGAAAAAAAATAATAATTAGATAAAATTAACAGTTTGTTTTCTTTTTTCTTTTTTCTTTTGTTTTCTTTTTTTTTTTTTTTTTGGTTTTTTTGAGACAGGGTTTCTCTGTATAGCCCTGGCTGTCCTGGAACTCACTCTGGAGACCAGGCTGGCCTCGAACTCAGAAATCCACCTGTCTCTGCCTCCCAAGTGCTGGGATTAAAGGCGTGTGCCACCACTGCCCGGCCTAACAGTTCGTTTTCTAAAGTGAAAATTTTCTGAAAGTAAAAGAAACAGGTCTTAGCTGGCTGTGGATCTTGGGAGCCAGAGTAATGTCTAGTGTAGGAATACAAACCCACAGGGGGCCATAGTGGCATGAGTGCTATGGGGATGGAGATTATGGGGGTAACCTACTTCTTTCTGCTCCATTTAATGCCTGCTCCCCAAGAGGGGAGCCATGCCCGGTAGTACTATGAATCTGGTCAAGAAGCCATTGTTCAGGCACTCACGGATGCTAGCTGCCAGCCTACTACCTCTATTACGCTAAATGGACACAGTGTCAAACAGCCCTGAGTTCTTACCCCTCTGAGCATAAATCAGTGCAGCTCTCAAATCTTATGGGAGAGGTTTCTTTTTCTTGGCAGTGGATAGTTGTAGTTAATGTAGAAAATCCCAAGTCCAAGTGTGAAGGGTTCACTCCTACAGAGGTAGGGAATATGTCTACCATGGGCAAGGCTACAGGTTCAATCCCATAGAATTCTACATTGAACTTCTAGCTACAGTGAGAACCCGAGACTATGGAGAAGGCTGGAGGACGACTTAAGGAAACTACCAAACTGGTGCAGAGCGTAGAATATTTAAAGACTTTAAAGGTGCAGACCATAGAATATTTAAAGACTTTAAAGGTCTAGACTCTTCAAAGCATTAATGACATCGGAATTTTTTGAAAAGGTTTATTAAAATAAACCAAAGGGACGTAACCAGACACACTGTATGACACTCTATTTACCAAATTCTATTGTTAAAACAAAACAAAACAACAGAAGCATCAAAACAACTATGACTGGGCAGTGGTGATGCACCCCTTTAATCCCAGTATACGGAAGGCAGAGGCAGGTGAATCTCTGAGTTCCGAGCCAGCCTGACAGAGAGAGAGAGAGAGACAGAGAGAGAGACAGAGACAGAGACAGAGACAGAGAGACAGAGAGAGATATTGATTCAGGATAGCCAGGGCTACACAGAGAAACCTTGTCTCAACAAACAAACAAACAACCCAAAAACTATGAGAGATTTGTGAGCAATTAGATAAGGAGTCTATACAGAAAATTATTCACATTTTGCATGTAGTTATATATATATTGATTACACAGAAGAATATTCTTAGATACAGATGAGTGCCAAGCCATTAAGATGCACATGTCCTGTTTGTAACACATTTTCACATGGCTCAACGGAACAAGGTGTGTTCACATGCACACAGAGAGAAAGAAGGCTGTGGATGAGATTAATGGCTGACTAAGTGAACACTACACGGATGCTCACCTATGAAAGAGCTCGTGATAAATAAGTGTATTGTTTTAAAAAGGCAGCAGGGACACTGTGAGCAACAGTAGGTAGTGAGAACCTCGGAACACAAGATGGAGCAACAAGGAGAAGTAGCAGCTAACCGCTCTTCAAGTGAGTCTTAATGTCTACCGTAACTCAGAAGGGCAACAGGGCAAATGGCTTCCTCCTCCTGTAACTGCGGGAGTGACTGGTTTGTGCTGTCACTCTTCCAAGCATGGCCTAAGCCCAGCTTGTCCAGCAGACAGGCGGCGTTAAGTCGGTGTGCACAGTGGAGGTGTCCTACAGCCCTGGCTTCCAAAGGCTCTAATGAAGTGAGATTACCAGGTTGTTTTTATCAGCTGCAGTGGCAGCTCATAATATACTTGAAGTGAACACCCAGGAGTAACTCATCCACTGGTTCTCACCTCCTCCTGGAAATGTAACTTTTGTTCTCCTGAAGTAAAGCATTCCATTAGACGTATGTATATATGTATGTGTATATGTGTGTGTGTATGTATGTATATATGCATATATGTATATGTGTATATATGTACACGTGTATTTATATGTGTATATGCATATATGTATTTATATGTATGCAGGCATGTACATGTGAATTTATATGTGTATATGTATATATGTACGTATATGTTTGTGCATATATATGCATGTATATATGTATGTGTGTATGTATGTACGTGTATATTTATATGTGTATATGTATATATATATGTGTATATGTATATATATGTATGTGTATGTATATGTGTGTATGTACATACATGTATATATGTATGTATATGTATATATGTGTGTATGTTATGTATATGTATATATATGTGTGTATGTATGTATATGTGTATGTATGTATATGTGTATGTGTGTATGTGTACATAATGCCCACATAGGGGTGTTACCTTATCACCCCACACACAGTGCCCTGCAGCACAAGGACTAAGCACCAAGGTTCCAGCACCTACAATATGGTAAGGCCACCAACAAACCAGCCACTCTGCATCTCGATGTCTGCTGTATCACAACCCTATGCCTGTTTTATGTCTACAGAAACCTTCTCTGACATGCCTGCACCTTACTTGTATGGAATTTCATGGAGGGACACAGTGCCCCTACTCAATGATCAAGAGCGTACACAGAGAGACTTTTCCCCTTGTACCAGAACTACAAACAAACCAGGGAGATGGAGGCTATATTAAGGCACCCTGAGATCTGGTCTCTGGATCCATTCACCCAAGATCCAGGTAAGACTTGGCATTGTCTGTGAAATGGGATACAATGTGACACACAAATGCTACATCTATCCCAAAGGGCGATGTGGAGTGACAGGGATCTCAGGACCAGAAGAAACTAAGCAGCAAGCCCTGACTGGAACTAGTTGGCAACCCTCTTGGGAGCACCACTCCCTTCTCTGGAACTGGCTCACCATAGGAAGGGCTGTGCTGGTCTATTTTAGGTTCCTTTCCAATTATATGTTTATCATCTGTGGCCCACTCAATTTGATTTACCTAAACTGCTGTTCTTCTTAGTACACATAGCACATCTGTAAGGGATTAATTTTGTCTGTTTCTAAGCAATTAATTTTTTAAAAGAGTTATCTTCATTTTACATGCATGGGTGCTTTGTGTGTGTGTGTGTGTGTGTGTATGCAGATGCACTGTATGCATGCCAGGAGCCTAAAGGAAGACAGAAGAGGGCGTAAGGTCCCCCGGTACTGGGGTTACTGATGGTTATGAGTACTTGTAAGTACTACAAGTTGAACCTGAGTCCTCTGCTAGCACAGCCAGTGCCCTTAACCACTGAGCCGCCTCTCTAGCACAAGCAATTAATTTCTCAGAGACACTTTTCTACGGTCTCCACTCTCACCTTCTACCTTTCTTCTTAAAATGCTCCCCCCATATCCTTTTCTCCTAACACACTTTCACTTTCAAGCAAAACAGTGTCCCACCTTAACCAGCTCAATAGAAGCATCTGTTTCAAGAGTTCCCCTTGAGCCCTGACGTCCACACAACTGTGACGTCGGCTGGCAATCCCATGTTAGCCCTTAAACGGTTTGCGGTCCTGACCTTTTTTTTTTTAACTTACACTTAAATCATATCATGTCTGTTCAAATACCAAAGTATGCTAAAGCGAAGGTAAATTACAGCACTAACCGTCTTCCGGTTTGATCGGCAATCTCTTCTGACTTCTGCAGCTCCGCCGTGTACGCCTGGATCCGAGCGCTGCACACCATGAGGTTCTTAACTGCATGCAAAACCTGCTCTTTTTTTGTACTCAGCGAGAGCAGCTTCCATATTCCTTCTCGCATGCGGATTTCTAAGTTTATTTTCTCTCGGATGCTGCTGCAGTCCTAGAATAGAGAGTCTTCCATAAGAGGCTGCAAGACTCTAGAACTACACTGAAGACAGGCGACGGGAGACATAGTAGACATCATTTAGTTTTTGCACCATTCTGAGAATGAAACCGAGTCTCCCAGAATGCAACAAATACAGCCATTTTTTCAAAAGCTATTTGCAAAATTCTAAAGTTTCTTGCATTATTGGGAATTCTTTCCAACTTACTGGCTAAAAGGAAAAGAAACAAAGATGAAAAAAAGCATGTTGCTTTCATAGCCTTCATTTAACTTAACAGAGCTCTCGAAATCCACGTCTGCCCAGAACCCTTGTATGGGCCCTTATTTGGATACAGAATCTCCTGTGTGCTATTAATTACAATGGGGTCACATTGGAGTAGAATGGGTCTCAAATCTTAATAAGCCCATGAAAAGACATAGACACACAGAGAGAAAGCCATGTGAAGACACAGACTCGGGAGAGGCCACAAAAGAACAAGACACACAGAGGCCACATAAAGATAACATATATACAGATACATACAGAGAGGCCACACACGGATGCAGACACAAAGGAATTACAAGAAGATACATACACACACACAGAGAGAGAGAGAGAGAGAGAGAGAGAGAGAGAGAGAGGGAGAGGGAAGGAGAGAGAGAGAGAGAGAGAGAGAGAGAGAGAGAGAGAGAGAGCATCCTACAATGACAGATATATGAGAAGGCCACGTGAAGACAGAGATGAAACACAGTAGGTTGATCCCAATAGCCAGAACCAGGAAGGGACAAGAAAGGACTTTCCTGAGACCCTGCAAATGGGTTGGGGGTGGTACTGTCAATACTTCTGACTTCTGGCCTCCAGAACTGGGAAGGTGGGGACGGAGGGATGTACTGATAATTTGTTACACAGCCTTAACAAAATATAGAATAAGCAGCCGGAGAGATGATAGCTCAGCAATTAAGAGCAGAATACTTGATACTCATCCAACGGACCAGAGTTTGGGTCCTAGCACATACATCCAGTAGTTCAAAATTGCCTGCAATGTCAGTTCCAGGGGACCCCGTACCCAATTCTTCTACACATGCGCATATAAACTCCCATCCCCCGCCGCCACCACACACACATAAATAAAAATACTTTTAAGCATACAATAACAACTGTAAGCAGCATACTACACACACGCACAGATTGTGAGAGCGACGGGAGGCTCCAAGACACCCGGCAGCTGATGAGCGGTAGAGAGAACTGGGCTGGTTCTCACAGCGAGCAACGGAAACACAGCTCAGGAGCCAAGGCTAGGCTGCGAGCTCCGTGCCTGGAAATCGCCAGAGGCCTCGGCTGCTTGTACAGAGACTCATCTCTGGACAAGTTTATTTTGGAGTCACCAAGAAATTTCTCTGTGGCTTAGTCTTTTTGTTCCATTTAATGACTGCATGATGGCCGCACTCCAAACACAAGGCTCATTCGTACCATTAAAAGTCTACAAACAAGATGCAAAGTCCTCCACTCATTCCCAGTCACTTTGTAAATTTTAGAAGCCACAAAGGCCCTCTTCATGAACGAGCACAGAACCCACATGTGTCTGTCTGTTTCTAAGTGACGATCCTGGCTTCAGTAGTAAAAACCAAAACCAAAACCAAAACCAAAAAAAAAAAAAAACCCTATTACGCCGGGTGGTGGTGGCGCATGCCTTTAATCCCAGCACTTGGGAGGCAGAGGCAAGCGGATTTCTGAGTTCGAGGCCAGCCTGGTCTCCAGAGTGAGTTCCAGGACAGCCAGGGCTACACAGAGAAACCCTGTCTCCAAAAACCAAAAAAACAAAAAAAACCAAAAACAACAACAAAAAAACCTACTACTTTCTCATTGTACCAAAATTCAATTTTAAAATGTGGCTAGGATCTAATAATATACGTGTCAAGGATTAAAAGGACAATCATTTCAAAAGAAAGAGAAGAAGCTGGTTACAAGAGTCTGTGACAGTTACCTCCAAAAACAAACTGTTAGATGGTTTGACTTAACTCTTCAGGCCTAATCAGCTGAGCTAATTACAAAAGAGAACAGATCTGTTTAACCGCCTTCTGTTACCACATCACGGAGTCGTCACAGGCTAACCTTGCATGTGGTATGTACTGACTCAAGCTGGGGCACCTATCAACGATGTCCCTTTCTTTGACCATGACTGCCTTCCGACAATTCTTACTTCATCTATCGATGACTTGTAAGCCCCAAAGTCATTTCTCCTTTCATGTCATCAGCAATTAATTATAAGAACCATCTACGTGACCCATATGTCTCTTCAGTAATAAACGGTGGCAGGCTGGTTAGCGCTGGTAAGTGCACACCAGGAGCAACTCGAAGCTGGGATGAGCCGCTTTACCCCACAGCGCAAATATAAATAAACGCCATCTGGTGCCTCGGAATTCAGCTTTGCTTTTCAAAGGCAGCAACGAGATAGCTGATTGGGCTGGCACAGAGGTTCTGAAAAGCTGGCTACATTCGAGAACCAACTGAGGCACAGAGAAAGAACCTTATTAAAGTTCCTGACCCATCCAATTAGGTCTTTGGAAGCAGGGCGGAACATGTTTTTTTTTTTTTTTTTTTTAAAGTTCCTCTAAGCCGGGCGCACGCCTTTAATCCTAGCACTTGGGAGGCAGAGGCAGACGGATTTCTGACTTCGAGGCCAGCCTGGTCTACAGAATGAGTTCCAGGACAGCCAGGGCTACACAGAGAAGCCCTGTCTCGAAAAACCAAAAAAAAAAAAAAAAAAAAAATTCCTCTAACGTGGTGTTTCTCAACTTGTGGGTCGCGACCCCTTTGGTGGTTCACATATCAAATATTTTGTATGTCAAGTATTTACATTATGATTCACAACGATAGCCAAATGACAGTTATAAAGTAGCAACAAAATTATTTTACAATTTTTGGGGCGGCATCCCAACGTGAGGCACTGTATCAAAGGGTCGCTGCGTTAGGAAGATTGAGAACCGCTGCTCTAGTGGGCAATTGTGGACAGAGACGCCCAAGGGTCTTAAGGTTGTAATATCCTGGAGTCACCAGCAGGGGGCCACAGCCACGCTGCACATTAGCCTGGGCTTTAGGGCTTCCAATTATCTGGGAAGAATATTTTCTTCCATCACCAGTTAAAAAAGATTTAGGAGATTACAGAGGATTGAGAAACGGTAGGGAAAAGAACCTCAAAGTCTTCACAAAAACAAAAACAAAAAACAAACAAACAAACAAAAAACAAACAAACAAAAGCTTACACGTGAGATTAAGTCATCGTCCACTAAGGGGATACGTCATTGGCGGAAGTTATTTCTAGAATTCCATCCTTTACTGCAAGAGTTAGAGAACTGTGGTCTGGTTGGTGCCCCATTTTGTAAATTAAGCTGTTCCGAATCACATCAGCTCATGAAGAAAGTCATATTGAGTCACGGCTAGTTCATACTAGCTCTGGCTGCTTTCCAACCACAAAGGCAGCATCGAGAAACGTAGAAGATGATGGCCCGCAAAACGGAAAACATTTACCATGCGGCCTCTTACCCACTTCAGCGTGGATGCGCTCTAGAAGAGGGCCCTGCCTCCTTAGTCAAAGCTAGTCGAGCATGTGGAAGAGAGCTGAGGCAGGAGGATGAACTGCCTGCTAAGCTTATGTCTGCATTGTCTTTGAATACACTTACTTAACAGTGTCCACTGCTGCTGCAAGCTTACGTTTCCCACACAACCTGTTGGCACGCATCCACTCCGCCTGAACGAGGAAACCTCTGACCGCAACACTAAGCGGCCTTAGCCAAGGAACCATTTAAAGAGCAAAAGAATTAGTCTTTACTTAGTAAGTGTGCATGGTACTGCTGGGGGGAAATTGCTGTCTGTCTCGGGCCATCCGGTGGGAGGAAGGATCGCGAAAGGGGGGGGGGCAATCCACTGAGCATGCAGTCATGATAATTGGACTCCAAGAAGGCCGAAGAGCTAAAGTCATTACTCTTACAGCCCCAGCCCACAGAGCACAGCCAGGCTGAGTTGAGGATGACTCTGGCCAATAAGAAAAGCTGCTCCGCAGGCATCCTGCTGCAGCGTTGGAGAACGAGTTCTCAGAGCAAGTGGGTTAGCAATCCCCTTTCTCAGGGTTCCATCAGGTTAAACAGAAACCTATGTCACTGTCCTGGTAGGGTAAGTAGTTAAAGTTAACAGCTCGGATGGAATGGGTGGAACAAAGCTAAAAACAGAATAGCTGGACCTTTTAAAAGAAGGAGATAGGGGCTCAACGGGAGTACTTGCCGTTCTTCCAGAAGATGTGAGTTCGGATCCCAGAACCCACAGCATATAGCTCACAAACAACTATGACTCCTGCTCCAGGGGATCCAACACCTTCTCCCGGTCTTCCAGGCACCCTACACTCATGTACACACAGCCATATAAATACACAAATAAAAATAAATATTTAAGATAAATAAGAGTAGAAATGGGAAGTTGGGGAGATGGCCCAGTGGACACAGTGCTCACTCTGCAAGCATGGGGACCCAAATTCACCCACAGAAACTCGAGCACCATGCTGTGCCCCTGTCACCTCAGGGCTTGGGAGGTGAAGGCAGATAGATTCTGGGGCTTACTGGTAGTCAGTCTAGCAAAAACGGAAAGCTTCAGGTTCAATAAGAAATACACTCTGTCTGTCTGTCTATCTGTCTGTCTGTCTCTCTCTCAAACACACACACACACACACACACACACACACACACACACGCATCCAAGCACAGTGGCACACACCTTTAATCTCAGCACAGGGGTGGCGGAGGCAGGCAGATCTCTGTGACTCCTCCTCTAGTTCCTGAGTTCCAGGCCAGCCGGGGGCTACATAGCAAGACCTTGTCTCAAAAAAAACAAAAAACAAAAAGGGAAAACAATAAAAGAATACTCCGAAGCTGACCTCTGACCTATGTATGTGCACAGACAAGCATAACACTGCACGAGTTTGCATCCACGCCCAGAAGAGGCACTAGAGCTAGGTACAGTCAGCAGTGCAAGGCCTCTCTAAACAGCGTGCGGTCCTGAAGCTGGTAATTTAAGTTATGGAAGAGAGACATCTGGATGGTTTTAAGATCTGGAACGGCACAATGGCAGAGAATGGGCTTTACTATCGATCCTGAGACGTGACTTTTAAAATTGCAAGCAGGGATGGGGGCTTGGTAAAACAAGACAGAAACCATCCGCAAGTAATTCCAACTAAAACTACTACTCACCTAACAAGTGGAACTATGCCACGCTGGTAAAGAGACCAAAGGGTAGGTGAAAAAAATGAAAAGCTGTTTATATACAGTATGTTTGAACTAGAACAGTTCATTATTATTATTAACATGTGTGCTGTATGTATGTGTAAGATGTGTGTACACAAGTGTGTGTGTGTGTGTGTGTAAGGTGTGTGCGCACAGAGACTTGCCATACCATGGTATACCTATGTGGTGGTCAGACAGCAACTTTGGGAAGTGTTCTCTCTCCAGCTCAGGTCCCCGAGACCAAACTCAGGTCATGTTTACCTCTGGAGCTACCTCACCAGGCCTAATCTCCACCTCTTGAACAAAATCCCACATCCTGAAGAACTGTTTATGTACAGAAAAAAAAAATGGTTTTAACACTAACCATTGTAGGAAACTTGAACTGCAGAGAAACGTAATTCATGTTCTGAGAACACTTTACAAGGACGAACTGTTTCTTCTCAAACTGTATTTCCACGTGCACTTTTTTTTTTTTGGTAGGAGCATAAACTTTATCAGGAAGGATGGTTAGGTGCTCATTGGAATAAGACATTCATTGGAATAAGACAAAAGGATGTAATAAAAAAATAAAAATAGTCATCTGTCAGGCCTGTGCTCCAGCCACAGAGAGGCTACCAAACCCGACATCTTCCAAGATAGGGACTTCAGCCTTTCTGCAGCTATGGAAACTAAAGTCAGAACCACACGTGGGTCACTGAGAAGTACACAGCAGAATGGCATTTGATCCCAACCTTACCCCAAAACCAATATGCAGTACACGAGAAGTCGAAGACACTCCCCTCCCTCACTTCCCCCCCCCCCCCCGCACTCCCCCATGTTGGAGTCGAGCTCAAATGACTAAACCTCTGGTCTAATCCTGTTGGATCCCAGATTTCATATGTGTGTGTATGGGGTGGGAGGAGTCACATATCAAATAAAAACGCAGTGTTTGTTAGTCAAATATAAAATCCTCCTCCTGACTCAGTATTCCTGTGAAGTTGAAACCTATTACTATTTTGTTGCTTATCTTCAAGACCCAAACAAAAGCCAATTCTACATTTTAATTATCTTGATATTATGCTTAGAAATGACTATTTTGCTATATTCACATAAACAAGCTTTGATATATTTGCTATATATACTATCTGAGTGTTGCGTGCATCACATATATACACACATACACACACATATACATACATACAAACACACACACATTTTCCTTCAATACGCCCAGTTTTGTCACCCTCCTTTCTGTATCATTCTTCAATGTCACTGTCACACACACTAATAATCACACTTGGATGGCCACATCAGGACTCACACGACCCCTATGAGAAACTCAACAGATCTTCATTCATTTCGACAGAAACAGAGGCTGTATTAACAATCAACAAAGGAGTGGGGCGTGGCTCAGCTGACCCAGGGCTTGCCTAGAATGCACAAGGCACTGGGTTAGACCCCAGCTCCACTCGCCTGTACGTTAGGCTTGGTGGGGCACTCCTCCCATAAAGTCCACAGTAGGAAAGCGGAGGCAAGAGGAGCTTCAGGAGTTCAAGGCTACCCTTGGGAAAGGCAACTAGGACACCCGGAATACATAACAAAAAATTAAGAAATACTTCACAAGAGAGTTGAAAGTTTGTGTATGCTAATGGAAAACAGGTCCTGTGACTATTGATACGGTTTGCATAATAACTCGAAGCCTGGTTCAACTTTCCAGAGGACTTCCTAACAGTGCTAAATCTACTAAAGAAAGTCTATGAACCTGCAGTATTCGTCTTGACCTGAAAATCTGGCAAGAGTGTATGGTTCCAATTAGTATATACTTCAGGAGCTGGTAAGAGGTGAAAATTAAAACGGATATGAAGATGTAGCTAAAAGGGCATGAGAACCTTCTTTTAATTAAAATGCTAAAATAATGAACAGGAAGTATACTTTTAATACTTGACTGGGGTTCCCAAGAAATAGTCTCGACTACACTAAATGTAAAAGATTTTGAACACATTTTAGATGGCTAAAAAAGAACCAAACACTGGATTTGTTTGCAACTCGGTGTCTTCCTTTTTCCTAGTATCCGTGCAAGAATCCACATTTAAACTTACACCTTCCTGGAAAGCTAAGTATATGCCGTTTGAGTGTCCACCCCGCGGCCCCCCACAGTCTGATGCTCGCTCACACGGCTGTAAGCAACACTTTGCATTAGACGCCTAGCTGCACGGGCCGCGGAGCAATCCGGGCATCGGCTCCCGGGGCATCACCTCCTCTGCAAACCTGGGAAGACCGGCAGATGGGAAGGGCCCCGGCGTCCTCCTCCACCCCCCGGCCTCGCTCTCCTCCTTGGGTGCAACCTACAGGCGTGCAAGCCACGGAGCTCGCCGGGCTCCCGGTCTCGGTCCAGGCTGCAGCTCGCCAGTCCCCGGCTTCGCTCACCTGCTGCGCGGCGAGGCCCCTCAGGAGCTGTCCCTCCATTTCGGCGCAAGGCTGGGACGATTTGAAAAGCGCGCCCCGGGGCTGCAGCCGCAAACCGCACCAACCGCTCGGCTGTACCAAGTCCTGGCTGCAGGGGAACCCGGCCCACGACGCCGCGCAAGCGCACTAGCAGCCGCTCGGTCTCTAAAACAGCACGGAGACCCGAGGACTCTGAACAGACCCTCGGCTGCAGCCCGCCTTAAGCGCGGGCGGGGCCTGGGTCTGCGGTGGGCGGGGCCTGAATAAGTGAGCAGGCCCGGGTGGGTGGAGTTTGTGGTGGGCGGGGCACGAATAGGTTCTCATAGGCTAAACAGGAGCAGAGTGGGTGTGTTTGTGTAGGCTAGTGGGCGGGGCCTCAGCCGGTGGGCGGGGTGGAGCCTTCTTACAGCAAGTTCTCCATAGAAATCTCTGGCAGGTGGTTTTCTTGTCAGGTTTGAAGTGAGCTTTCTCCTTGCATCCTGCCCGAAATTCTTTAAAGGGATGGACTGACTGGACCCCACAGACGAATCAGGCTTCACCCAAAGAGCATGCTCTTGAAGGCGTTTTGCGAGTACTTCTGTCCCTGCGTTTGTTCGTTTCTAAAGTGACAGCAAACAGCACTACCCAGAAGCCTGGTCGTTAGCGCAGGCTTTTATTAAGAAAGAGGAAGCGGAGATTCCAGAATGCTGAATTCGAGACCTTGAGCATGGCAAGCAACTAGTCCACCACTGAACTACCCAGTTTAGACTTTTAATTAGAGGATGTCCACACCCCTGTAAAGTGTTTAAAATTATCCCTTGGCGTATCTTGTACCGGAAATGTGTAGGGCTTTGGACATTTCCCTCCTGAGGGACGACTCTACCAAATCAACTCTCCTACCTTACCTCATTGAAGGCCTGAGGCAACGCTCCTTTATAAACAGTCTGACCCTGTTTATTTTAAGGCCATCCCTTCTTGGGTATGTTGTCTCAACAGTAAATCTATCTTACACTTGTTGCAAAGTGGACTTTAAGTGATACGGTCATCTTGCTCACAGATCTCCTTGTTAAGGCAATCAACTGAAAGATCTTCTTCTTCTTCTTCTTCTTCTTCTTCTTCTTCTTCTTCCTCTTCTTCTTCTTCTTTTGAAAGATGTACTTCTTAAAAAGTAATTGAGTGTGCCAGTGAGATGGCTCAGCAATGAAAGATACCCACCTAATGCCAAACCTCCTGACCTGAGTTCCAATTCCCAGGATCCAAATGGTAGAAGGAGAGAACCAACCCCCAAAAGTAAAATCCACATGTGCACCAGGACGTGAGCATACCTCCCCTGACACTGAATACACACACACACACACACACACAGAGAGAGAGAGAGAGAGAGAGAGAGAGAGAGAGAGAGAGACAGAGACAGAGACAGAGAGACAGAGAGACAGACAGAGAGAGAAATTTGTGTATATACATGTATACATATACATGTGTATGTGTATACATACATACATACATACATACATACATACATATTCCTTCCTCTCAAGTGGATAATTGTCTGGTTGAGAGCCTCTAGACTAGGTAATTCTAGAAGCTGCTGGCCAGTTAGGAGTGATTTTCCTCTTACTTTAGCAGCCTGTAATGACTCACAATTGTAAAGTATATGAAACTCAAAACTACCAACACTCAACTCACCCAGGTACCTCCAAACACAGGTCTGGATTCCATTCTCGTGAAGTGCCCTTTTGACCTAGCGCACAAGTCTCTTGTGCTGCTGTTTTGTGGTGTAATTATCAACTACTAACCTGAGCTGCAGGAACCAGGCATTATAACTGACTCACAAACGAAAACACACACACATAAACAAAATAGACACAGAGAGCTGATCTTCAGGCATACAGTGTTTACCATGTAACACATACAGCATTCAGACTCAGATCAAAGCACCTTGAAAGAGAGAACCAAAAAGACGACCAGTTTCAAATTAAATGCCAAAATGGAAATACTGGTGAGTGAGTATTGCAGGCTTAACTAACCTAGGCAGAAATTTAGAAGAGGCTGTGTTTGGTATTTACCTATAGACTATAGGTAGTTGGTGTTAAAGACCATTCTTTTTGTAGAAGAAATGACATGGGCCTATCTCTTACTAAGTCATCAGGGGATGTGTCCCGGAAGTGCTTAAGCTAGCATACAGCCTAGCTGGTGATTAAAGTACCGCAGAATAGGATTTCTGTTTCCTTATTTATCCCCAGCCCCTCCTTTTTTTGTTACAGCTAGTTTCATCAAACATAGTTCTCTTTGATGTCTGTAATGCATATAAAAATAGAACCAGCCATCAAAACACCAGAAGCTTAAAGAGTGGAAACTGAGGATGAGCCCCACTTGCCAGGATATTTGCCTGCACAAGGTCCTGAGTTCATCTCCCAGCTTGACATCCACTGGGTGTGGCGATACATGCCGATAACCCTAGTACTCCAGAGGCAGGGGCAAGACAACCAAAAGTTACAAGTTATCCTTGGCTACAAAGTGAGTTGAGGCTAGTGTGGGTGACAAGAGACACCGGCAAACATAAAATAAAAAAAGTTAAAGAGTTCGCAAGAAGTAGTTGTAGTCATTTGAGAATGTATTTATCTAGCAACAACTAGAAGAAAACAGTAAGTACCATTTTTAACTGTTCGGGAGCTAAGCTGAGGCATCCTTCAAATATCCTCAGGCTCGCCAAGAATATGTTAGATAGCCACCCACCCGCTGGGGTTTGCTTCAGCTGGAGGTTGAGCAATGGGGTCATTATTATAATATCATTATATAATACCATTATCATATGGGCATTATTTATATTAGCTAAAATATATTGGTGTCAATTCATAATTAAATAGGAGGTGATAGAAGCAAAGCAACTAAATAAGACAATAAGTATCAAAAAGTCTGTTTTCCTATATTATTCCTTTTAATTTTCACTGGCTTGACGCTCACAGACATCCCCCTGCCTCTGCCTCTGCCTCTGCCTCTGCCTCTGCCTCTGCCTCTGCC